ACGCTGTGCGCGGGCGCGCGGACTGTCCGCGCTGGGGCGCGCGCCTGCGCGGACTATCCGCGTGCTGGGGCGTTCCCTGCCCGTACGCTGTGCGCGGGCGCGCGGACTGTCCGCGCTGGGGCGCGCGCCTGCGCGGACTATCCGCGCACTGGGGCGCGCCCTTCCCGCGTGCTGGAGCGTGTTGGGGCCGTGCGTTGTGGCGCGATGGGCCGCGATTTCTGGAAATTTTCTGGGCAGTTTTTGGGCATCTTCGAAGGTTTCAAACTTGATCTTCAAGGCCTCCTTTTTGATTCAAAATCAAAAACCCTAATTCTACCCAAATCCTAGAAGTACAATAATTCTAATCCTGAATAAAATTACAAATAATTTAATCAATGAATAAATATAACCGATCCATGGAACCATATAATTAACGACCAAATCCACCATCCATACATTCATTAACATGAATAAAAATAAACATCCATAAATGCAAGTGCCTACCCATCACATACATACATAATTAAATATCACATATTTAATATATCAATTTTGATTATCAAATAATCGGAGCATAAATTAATATTGTCTATAGACCGCTCTGATACCAATTGCTGGTTCCCGAATCGAATTCGGGTGCGGAAGCGTGGGGAAGGCGGATCGTGTATAACAAAAATTTTCATAAAACTTTTGACATACTCTATAGATTATATTAATTTATGCACGAATAAATTAATCGCATTAATTTATATTATTCAAGGATCAATCGAAAAAATACCTGGAAGCCGACTCGGATGATAACTTGAATTTCTTTGACCACGAACAGTCCTTGCTCCAAGCTTTGTGTTTAGAATACCAAAGTCTTCCACGTCAATTCCTTGATTCCACGTAGACGTGTGTGTGGGCACACGTGAGACAAAACAGGTTTCTTAAACACTCGAATTTCCACAAACACCAACGCATGCACGATGTGGAATTTTTGGAGAAAAATATTTTCTCTCTCTTTTCTCTCTATGAATTTCGGCCACCAACAATTAGGGCTGAAAAAATTGCTTCAAAAATTGTGTCCCAATTTTCTATCATTCTCATATTTAAAGAGTAGAAGTCAAACTTCAAAACAGGATCAAATCTCTATCTCCAATTTTGAATTTCGAACCGAAAATCCCTTCCCCTTATCCTTAGGGTGGCCGGGCATACTATAGGGTTTTATCCCTGTGTGTGGCGCCTATATCAGATAGGGAAGGAAGAGATTTTATCATTTATCCAGTAGTCCTATTTTAATTCAGATTCAAATTCGAATTTAAGTCAAACTTAAATTAATTTGAATTCTAAATTGAACAACTTATCAAATAAGTTTAAATGGATAAATCTAGATATGTTCAAATTCAAATTTAAATAATCACATTATTTAAATAATAA